GGGGGGGGGGGGGGAGGTTATCGGCTATGGGAGCCCGGAGCAGTAGTAAGGACGCGAGTGTTATGTGGACAACGACAACGAACTGTATAAGGGAGGCAGTGAGAGAGGTATTAGGGGTCTCGAAGGGTTACTCTGGCGGGCACAAAGATGACTGGTGGTGGAATTAAGTGGCCCAAGGTAAAGTAAAAGCGAAGAAGGCGGCGTACCTGAAGTTAGTAGGGAGATCATGCGAGAAGGAGAGGAGAGCGAATAGAGAGAGGTATAATGTAGCTAGGAAGGAGGCAAAGTTGGCGGTCTCAAAGGCTAAAACTGCAGTGTTCGGCCGTTTGTACGAGGAATTGGGTGACAAGGGCGGGGATAAGAATTTGTTCCGGCTGGCCAAGGCGAGAGAGAGGAAGGCTCAAGATCTGGACCAAGTGAAGTGCATCAGAGACAAGGACGGTAGAGTATTGATGGGAGAGGCACATATTAAGCGATGATGGCAGACCTACTTTCATAAACTTCTGAATAGAGAGGGGGACAGGGATATTGTGCTAGGTCAATTGGGTCATTCCGAGAGTCGCCGAGATTTTGGGTATTGTAAACGCATAAGGTTGAGGAGGTCGTGCGCGCTATGCGAAAGATGAGCAGGGGCAGAGCAATCAGGCCAAACGAAATTCCGGTAGAATTTTGGAGCAGTGTGGGTAAAGCAGGCTTGGAGTGGCCGATTGGGGTGTTTAATGTGATTTTTAGGATGAAGAGGATGCCACACGAGTGGAGGTGGAGTACGATGGTACTGTTGTACAAGAACAAAGGTGATATTTAGAGTTGTAACAACTATAGGGGTATCAAATTACTAAGTCATACTGTGACAGTTTGGGAGAGGGTGATGAAAGTAAAGGCGAGGAGGACATTGTATATATTCGATAACTCAGCCGTTCTTATTTGCCCAGGTGATGGACACACTAACACACCATATTCAAGGGGAGGTGCCATGGTGTATGTTATTCGCTGATGACATAGTTCTGATTGATAAGACACGAGGCGACGTTAACGAGAGGCTGGATGTTTGGAGACAGGCCCTTGAGTCTAAGGGTTTCAAGTTAAGCAGGACTAAGAAATAATACCTGGAGTGCAAGTTCAGCGACGAGTCGAGGGAAGCATGCATACGTGAGGCTTGAATCACATGTCATCCCCAAGAGAGGCAGTTTCAAGTACCTATGGTCGGTTATCCAGGGGATGGGGAGATTGATGAGGATGTCGCATACCGTATATAGGGGTGGGGTGGATAAAATGGAAGTTAGCATCTGGTGTCCTTTGTGACAAGAAAGTGCCATTGTTGCTCAAAGGTAAATTTTATAGAACGATAGTTAGATCAACCATGTTATATGGGGCTAAGTGTTGGCCAGTTAAGAACTCACATATCCATAAGATGAAAGTAGCATAATTGAGGATGTTGAGGTAGATATGTTGGCACACTAGGATGGATAAGATTAGGAATGAAGTTATTCGGGAGAAGGTGTGTGTGGCTCTTATGGCTGACAAGATGCGGGAAGCGAGGCTCAGATGGTTCGAGCACGTGCGCAGGAGAAGCGCAGATACCCCAGTAAGGAGGTGTGAGCAGTTGGCTTTGGCAAGTACGAGAAGAGGTAGAGGGCGGCCTAAGAAGTATTCGAGAGATGATCGGGCAGGACATGACGTGACTTCAGATTTTCGAGGACATACCTCTTGATAGGAAGGTGTGGAGGCCGAGCATTAAGGTTGTAGGTTAGGAGGTAGTTGAGCATTTTTCTACTTCGTAGCGGGTGTGATGCTAGTCTGATATGGTTTCGTCTTAGATTGCTAGTGGTTAATGTTGAGTTCATACTATTCTCCCGTTTCCCTAGTACCTGGCCTTATTTACTTGTTATTGTTATTGTTATTGATTTCATCAATTTTCTGGTTCTTATGTTGCTGTTATTATTTCTATGGTTTCTATTGATGGTACTGATGTATTTGTCTCTTTTCGTCTTCTTGAACCGAAGGTCTTCGGAAATAGCCTCTCTACTCCCTCGGGTAAGGGTAAGGTCTACGTAGTCACTACCCACGCAAGACCCCACTTGAATTTCACTAGGTGGTGGTTGTGTTGTTAGAAGATTGACAAGAAATTTTTTATTAAATACTTAGGCACATCTTATTTGGCGTATTAGAAGATAATCAAAGTATTGGTTTATTCAGTGCTTTGATTTGTTTGTTCATATATAAGTTATACATCAATCACTGTATTATTTAAATTCTGATGAATACAACATGAAATACATGTATTTAATTACTATACTTGGATAAAATATCCAACAAGACAAGACTACCCTTGATCTTGAGTTTTCTCTTCAAACCCATTTCATAATACTCAAAATTCAAAAAGGAACGTTATAATTACAGATTCTTCGGAGATACAGTTAAACCCCTCGGCCTTTTATTCGTATGGATAAACATTTGCTTCCTTTATATTTCTTGAATGTTAGCAAGTTAAAGATTTGATTTTAGAAGCTCTGGTTACTGATTCAGGAAAATTCTCCACAGGGGCGGAGCCAGGAATGCGGGTTTACGAGTTCGGACGAACATAGGCGGACATATGCTATACAAAGAGGGTTTATTCGCAGATTGGCAAAAACTTTATATATACAAGTATTTTTAACATATATTGATAATTAGTAGTGGGTACCCTATATACAAAGCAGATTTTAGTTGAATCAAAAAGTGCACCTGCGGCTTTCAAATCCTAGGATCGCCTCTGCTGTCGAACCTAGCAATTTGGTTCAAGCCTTATATTTGTCTAAAGAAATCCATTAAAAATACATAAAATTTTAAAAATATTTAGTGCTTTAAAAAATGATGATTTCGAACCATTAACTTTAATTCCCGGCTCTTCCTCTTGATCCACTACAGAAATAATATTGAAAGGCTAAAGCAAAAGGAAGAGACAAAGGTCAAGGCCGACAAGCTTGCCCATACTATAAAGTCTAACTTATTCCACATGTATTGTCCCATCAATTTTTCGTCTGATATGAACCTTTGTGGAATACTCTTATTTATATATCAAGACTCAATTTTAGATAATCCTATAGTAGTTCAATCCAATTTTCTAGTTTAGTGTAAAGTTCTCAAAAGTCTTTTCTTCCTCCAATATGGGATATTTGTCAAGGACAGAAACTCAAATATCTTATTTGGTACAATTGCTCTTCTTCTAGCTCTTAAAGAGTTAAGAAGAAGGCAAGTTTCGCGCCGTCGCCGTCATCGTCGTCGCTCGGCTCGGCTCGACTTCGGCTTCGGCTTGTTTTCTGTTTTCCCGCAACTTACGAATTTTTTTGATCTTCTTCTTCTTCTTCTTCTACCCAAAAAAAAAAATCCAGTGTGTTTTACAGCCTTCAAGTGGTTCGCTCTTCATCGGCGTTTTTGGTACCAACACTCCGGTGAGTTAAATCATTCTATCCTATGAGGATATATTCCAGCACCTCGGGTACTTAAGGGGAATAATTTCCTTAAGGACACACTGTGTATTCAGTGAGCTCGACTCATTCCGAACTTATTTTTCACATATTATTTTGACATACTATTTCTACTAACTTTCTGTTTTTATTTATATTTCAGAAAGTTTACTGGTTTTAATATTTATTACAGTAATACAGTTTGATAACAAACTTAAGGAAGTTATTTATTATATTCTGTATTTTGTTTGTGGAGATTAAAACCTGTGTGATTTTCTACTCCTTCTGAGTTTTACTATTCTGAATTGAAGATATAAAAACTTCTTCAGAGTATTGAAATTCAGAAAACGATTAGAAGAACATAAAAACTTCATCGTTTTTTGTGAAACAGTATATAAAAACTTCGGTTTTTATTTATCATACGTACTATTTATTGTTAATTACAGTATTGTTTACTGTTCTGGTTTTGCCATTAATTAAACTCTTCTGTTGTTGACAGTGAGAAATGGCAATTGATAACGGAAATTCTCCTTCGATTGTTGCGGCAACGACGATAGCCTCGTCATGCCGGACTCCTGTTCCACAAGGTCGAGAAACCGGGGAAATTTTCTGGAGC